TGAAAACCATCGAGAATTAAGCTTCTAGAAGAGCACTAAACCCTGTTTGATTGCGATTTTAGAAACTCCTTCTGAAGTCAATAGCATTTTGCATTCCTGACATTAAAAAAAAACCTTTTAGTAGTACATGCTTCGTCCATTCATAGATCAAATGTCAAAACTGGTTATTGCTTTTTTGTGTTCCTCATATTTAAGAGATGTCTAAGGTTTGTGTCCTACTACATCCATTTCGAATAAAAGGAAACCCGCCTTTTTTTAGCATTATTTTGTTTGCCACAAATACGAATAACGCCTTCGCGTAAACAAATTTCATTTGGAAATTATGAAACTATTCGCCGAATAATTTAGAATTTGTGCGTGTCATGGAGTTTATGCTTTATGTTGATAATGTTCGCATATAAGATGAACCAAAAACTTCCTGATATACTAATTGCACTAGGTATTATTTTATTCAGAAAAAAAGGTAAAGAGTTTTGATATTCGAACAGCTCAACGTTATGCCTTTACCATTCCTGATGTTAAGACCAGTGCACGAATAGTAACTTTATGAGTTAGGTATATGGATTGTTGTCACAGACAGACGATTTAACAAAGAGTATTTACCAATTACCTAAGCAAGGGTTTGGTGCTACAACAAAACTTTGCCACAAATCAGCAATAAATTATTCGTCTATTGTCTTGTTCTGTCCAGGTCTTTGTTATGTTCAAAATCAAACAATCTTCTGATTTTCTACTTTCTCCTTGACATTATTAAAAACTAATTGATTTGCGAAAACGAGATCTTAAAGTCATCGTTCATGAAGTTAGTGAGCAATAGAACATATCCAAGTACCAGCTAATTGAAAAATTATTCACAAGATTTAAAGTATGATAAGAGGAGAGAACAATTCATTTTCTCCATTGACAAGGCTCGTACAATGTTAATTATAGCAAGAGTCCATCAATGGGACCGACACTCCATAGGGCGAAAAGAACTTCCAGCAATTCAAGATAAGACGACTTCTTAGTTTTAATTGTGAAGTGAAATCATCTCCGATATTCTTCAACCATGATCAGATTTCAAATTGTCTGGTGGGATGCACATACTACTGAGTGTCAGCTTGGCAGCATTTTTAATTTGGTCAAAGTCGACATCACCCTTACCTGTGGACGTAGTGACGTAAAAATTAAGACAGCAGTCAAATGTCTCCAGATGGCTGCTTTAGCAAACATACTGGCTGTCCGAACAGGACTATTTTTATTTCGAACCAAATCTACCGCGCACACGTGCGTGTGCGTTTGTGTGTGTGTGTGTGTGTGTGTGTGTGTGTGTGTGTGAGAGAGAGATAGAGAGAGAGAGAGAGGCAAAGTTTAATGGCAATCATCTAAGTAGTTTAAGGGGAGTAGCAATAATGAACTTGTGCAAAGGACAGACTGATGGACGACGAACGAGAAACCATTCCAGAAGCTCTTTTGCTTCATAACCAGTATCTATGAAAAGATTATTTTTGGGATTAATAGCTATCTGTTTTTTAATGGCAAATTCTAGAACCTCATGTGAAGGTGATTCGCTGAAATGCTAATTTCATTTATGTGACATAGGAAAAAAAGATTGATCTGTCCTACCGAACGGGACATAACTCTAGTTATACATTTCCTAAGACACGCAAATTAATCAGCAAACCACCCACTGATCTCATTACAACAAAGACAACTCGCGGATGAATTTTTCACTTTTTATTTAAATTTCTGTGCTGTCTTTAAAAAGACTTTCGGCTGAAAAGAAGAAACAAAATTGGCGCATGGGTTTAAAGGATGCATGTAAATGCTGTCGCTAATAGCATCGGCCAAACTTGGCAGGATAGTTTTCCCCCAGTATATGAACCAAAAGAGAGGGTTTTGTTTTATTAACACCGAATATGTCGCGATATTTTATTGATTCGAGACACAATACAGTGAAATTTTTTTTTTATTAATGTGCGCAAGTATTACTGCACGATTTCAGAGGATATGGTTGGTTTAACCAAACTGGGAGCTAGTAGATGCTGCATGAATTGATTGCAGACATTAAATGGAGGATCAATGAATCAGTCCTGACAGTATGCTTACTATCCTATCAGTTTTCCTGCGTACATGGGGAACCTTATGACAGATCGGAATGTCGATTTCAATAGAACTGCCTTTTTTCTCACTCCGACTAGCTTGGTGATATTTCATTGACACAACAACCAATACAATCCGTATTTAGTTGTAGTGTCATACTATTGTATCTAAATTCAATACTTGTTAGGTTACGTTCCAAATGTCACAAATTCTAATTATTCATATTATATTTGTCTGAATGGAGTTTATTCTACATTGTGACAACTGCCCACTATTGATTTTGTCGTACGTTTAGATCAGAATTATTTTGCACGCGTTTAAATTTAGCTTGTAAACTAGCAAGCATATTTCAACAAGAGTCCATCGAAAAATTTCTAGGAATTCAAAATAAGACCATTCTTCCTTTTAACTGCTGATTGTCGAAACCATTTTTGATGTTCTTCAGGGATAATTATATATTACTGCATTTGTATGCGAAAATATGAACGAGTTTTGTTTCTGAGTAATTTTGCACGAACTTGGGAGTAGAGCATTAGTTCGAAAAAATATGAATTCGTGTTTTTTCCATACAAATGCAGCAGCCTTTTCATTATATACTCATTTCGTTTTCCTACCCAAGGCTAAATAATAAAGGAATACGCTTCAAGAAATAAAGTAACTGAATTTATGCTGTATTTCAAAACAAATACTGTAATATGGCGAATTTTGAAGACTTATTGAAACTTAAGGTCGAATAAATTGTACTTTAAAGTTATCATAGCCAAGCCAGAAAGGTCTTGAGAAAGTTCACTGAATATTCTCTTATTTCATCTCTGAAACATAAAAGGGTATACGTCTAAGTTTCAGTAGCATTTGCCGGGTTGTTTTAACCGTACAGTGACATATTTGCATTAGAACTACGACCGTATCGGTTCGTAGAGGGCCTCACGTCAAATACTTGATTTTCAAAGGAAAGCTAATCGCAACAGTTCCTTATGCTGTCAAAATCTGATGATGAAAGACATGATTATTTGTAGAATTTTATGAACAGTTATGTCCGGTTGGTCTGGGAATTTAAGATCGTACACTTTGGGAGACTGGGAATTTAAGGGTACCACTTGCTCAGAATTCTTTAGTTCGACTCTTGCCTTGTAAAACGACAAGTCCAACTCCTTGTGGAACTGGATAACAGTGTTTTCGTAATAATCAGGAGTCATAAGAGAACACATTAGAAGTGGAAACAAAACATGGGAAATCCGCATATAATAGAGGTCGGAATAGTCATGGGTCAGAAGGGGACCAAAAAGCGCACGCATTAGACACGGAAACAAGAGGACAGAGATGTCCGGTGATGCTGTCAAAGCGTGAGAATTGCACTCAATACTCGTAATATAATATAAAATTGAACACTGCGACTAAATTCTGTCAATGCAAATCTGTTGGACTGAAAAGTGAAATTTTGGTTTTGTAGCAATTGATTAAATTTATTTTATGTATTGGTAAAGGGTGCTCGTAATTGTATATTTCTTTCAAAAGCCTTGCTCAGCTATCTGTTAACGCTCCATCTATCCGTCGTCCACACTGGGCAATAACACTGTGTGAAGTCATTCCTTAGTTAAAGATGGTCAAATCAATCCCCCGTTACAAATACACAACTGTAGATATATTTTTACACAGTAACGATATTAATGAGCACATAGCACCTGCTAGTGACCTTTGAACTTCGTCGAATACTCGACATTAGTTTTTTTTAAAAAAATATCGTTTTTGTCTACTTAAAATTGATATTTAGATTGATATTTTGAATGAATGCGCATTGAAAAGTCTTTTTGCAGTTGGTGTGGAATGGATGGATTTTTTTCTGTTGATTCAACTTAATTCTGTTTCTTTACTTATGATGCACTGAAATGAATTGAGTTTAATCTACATTGTGACAGTGCAGTAAGGAGAATGTGATTTAAGTTGGAAATGTCGTCAAAATTAAAGTACAATTTAGGTGTGTATCAGGTTTTTCATGGTCATGTCATTTAGATTTGCAGAACCAGTACATTTGAGGAAATTCAAGATATAATGTAAGTATATTTATTACCATTGTTATCATTAGCTAAAGAAGACATGTTTATGTCCTGTCACTTGTATGCTCGCTGTTGGAAGGACCGCAGCTAAATCTGTATCATACGGTGTGTTTCTTTAATCACTAGTTTAACATTGTATCAAAATAGTTAAACAAGAAAATTGCAAAGTAGATGTTGTGTGACACTTCATTTAGCCAGAGGAAATAGTATTTTTCATCTTCTTGCCTTGCTGACTCTGAGGCTCAGTTTCCTGCCAAAACAGCCAGCTGGAATTTAGTGTTTTGACTGACTTAAAAGGTCTCTGATAAATATCCGATTGATCATGGTCTCAAATTACTTTTCTTTGATATTTCTGTAGACACTAGAGAGCACTGGTCATAGTCAATTTGCAAAAGGTGACAATTATTTCTCTTAGATAACTATTCAAATGATCAAAATGGTATTTTCAATTACAGCTTCTCTCATATGTCTTGTTGGTATTGCAAATATCACGTTCATATGTTTGTTTGAAAGTTTCATCTGTGACTCAGTGAACGCGTCCACGTAGTTATCTTTATCATCTCTACTTTCAAAGGGACGAAACAGCTTGTTTAGTTTATTCAGAAACAAACATAAATCGAAAGCTGTGTCTGCTTCATGAATGTACACTGTATGTTTACAACCAAAGTAGTTCCTACTTCACCATACTATTTTTAGACACACATGTCGTGCAAAAATATGAAGCAGTTGCTCCCGCTTGGCATATTTTCATCTAAGACCAGTAAGTGTTTACCTCGAATCCCCACGTCGATAGGACTTTCGCTATGGTGGAGTAACAATGAATGGAGGCATCAGTTAGTACCATTTTTTAATAAGTCATTGGTATGACTCGGCCGAGGTTCGAACCCGCAACATCCCACATCCGAGGCGGTCACTGTAACCACTAGGCTACAGGACCATTCGTGGGCGAGAGGACAAAAGGCAATCCCAAAAGATATTCTGGTCTATGACAAGTTGAGCTAGTAATACATTATCTCATTGGTCAAGTGTCGGGAATAGCTTCAAATTTCGACCATGTGCAAAATACTTTAGTGTGGAGTATAACTTCATCAGTATTTGCTGAAAATGTCATCGATATAAGATTTACTCTTTCAAGACTCGAATAACAATTCTAGACTGGTACTAGAGAATATTTTATCTGTAGTCATAAAACCCGATAAGTTTACCGAACGTGTTGTTGAGGCCACTTAAAATAATTTAAACACATTGTATGTTCCAGTGTTGAATGAGAACATTTACTGGACGCCATCTGTGTTTGTATTTCCATGCAATATCCTCTTTAATTACTGAAAATTAATATAAAAAACCCCTTACCTTCCAGTAATAAAACGGTATCGTTTTTGAAACGAAATGCAGCAATGTTTTCTATTCAGTTACGAAAACAGCAACCTAAACTCTAATTCGTGTCATGATTTACTGACCTAAATTGACAACACGAAAAAAGTCCATCGCGGTATAAGTACAAGGCCACCGCTGTTAAAGACAGTAGACAAATTTACAGAGGCAATATTTATGAGCGCTGTTTAGTGCAATTTTCATAAGCACATTTTTATGTGCGTTTGAACAATTGAGAACATGACAATCTCATGCTAGTTTCCATCATTTATCCCGTTTGCTCCTTGGATTAATATAATATCCTGAATAAACTGGTGGATAATTCACAAATACGTAATGTTATTTTGGTTTCATGACCAGCATATCAATGCTTTTTAGAAATGTTAACCTTTAAGTTCAAACATTTCTTTTGCCAGCACACAAGATAATATTTTAGATGATATATCAATTTATAGAACCCAGAGAAAAGCTGTTCTTAAGACTGTGAGTTCTTTCTCCGATGATAAACTAACTTATTTTCATGACATCAGTGCTGTTCTTATATAAATTTCCCCAAATCACGAACAGAGGGTAACCCGAATGAGTTACCAAATTTAAACGCCATTCAAGCATATTAGTTGCTTAGTTTCTATTCCATCATTTTCACAATAAGATAAATTAAAAATTTAAACATTTTGTATGCACATGTTTCAGTCTCTATCCGCTTTTCTATTTTCAAACGTGTTGCTAATTTTTTGTAGTCATGAAAACATATAGCCGAATCCAATAGTTTTATATAGTTTATTTAACTTCCTTTTGAAATCATTTAATGCAAAACATTGTAAAAATATATCATGAATCGCAATAATTGTGATAAGTAACAACGACACTTATTGTCGGAATCGGTACACTTTGATCGTATTTTACGAATCTTATGTTTTTATCTTCCTGGACTATCATTTTTGCCAAATTTCTGAAAAGAAACGGAGAAGCTTTGGAGAAGCTTTGAAGGTTCAAGAATTTTGATCATTCTACCGCAACTCATTCTCACAAGTATCTTGCGATAATTCGCTACGCTGCTCTATCATCCATAGTTAAACATGTTGAGATTTCCTCGTTTTTACGAGTATGCATACAAAATACGTTTTCAAAAAGAAAACTTGACAACCTAATACGTGTCAATGCAAGTACCCGTTCTTATAGTTAAATATATGACTGCGCCTGAAAGAAATTTTGACTGGCTCAGTCAAACAGAATGGTCACGTTAGGTCCTAATGGCGAGAAAATTTACTCACGCTCCTGGTGATTGGATAATTAGGTTCATGCATATTCATGAGGCACGTGGAAATCTCTGCATTGGCAGCCACGCAGGGGCTCGGCCACAAGAAAATTATGAGCGACCGTCAATGAATCGAGGGTAGGATGGGTGGGTGGGGTACAACCTGTAACAAGTGTTGTATTGTTACACGTTGGTCACACACACACACACACACACACACACACACACACACACACACACACACTTTTCATTGACATATACTATAATTTTCTTGGTAACGAGCCCTTGGGGGCGGCCACTGGACGAATGATAAACGTACAAGGCGGATTATCATCCGTGGCTTGGGACGATGACCGCATCCATGACAATACAAGGGATATGGACTCGTTTGCTATGAACGAATACATTCAATCTACTCCAGTCTTGACAGTCGATGAATATTTAGTAACAATAAAATCACATAACAATACTACCAAGAATGGATACAAATTTTCAGAAAGAAATTTCTCAATTTTTGTCAGATCGGCATAATTTGCATAACAAATTTTGAAATCCCTTTAACGAAGCGTTTTGTCAATATTTGCTCAAAATTTGTCTTTTAGTTCCATTCAGTAACATCTAAAATTAACTAAAATATTTTCAGATCTAGCTTAACAAGAACAAAACATGGAATTGAAATCAAATGAAGCACTGCTATTTTTTCATTTACGGAAGTAAAAACCTACATGCTGCTACATGCTATGGCATGGATTGGTGCAATGAAACGACGCTTTTGAGACACTAAGGACACGATAAGTGTGTAGCCGTTATTATAGGGAGAAGAAATGTATTTATAGGCATTATTTTTTGGATGTCTCTTGTAATTCTGACAAGTGCACGTTTATGTTGATGTAAATATATACCGTTCTTAAGCAAGATTTTACATCTTTACGCTCCCCCAAAAAAATTGCACTCAATTATAGCACTCTACCCTGAATGGCCTGATGGATTTGTGTATCCAAATTTCGTCTAATTCGTGGAATAAATAGGCGGGATATTAACAGTGTGTAACTAGCAATGATTTCAGTTTTACGACGAGAATGAAACTGTATAAATATTTGAACTTAAGTTTAAACACATTTTACTGCAAAGAAATAATAAATAAAAAATGATCAGATAGAAGAAAAAATTTAGGATAGACTTAATTTCAAACTTTATTAAATGTTTACACATTATTTGAGTCAATTTATCGATTTATTTTATTGTTCATGGCCAACTCGTATTAAAAGATATACGATTTCTCAACAGGCACGGATGTCTAACAATGATTAAAATTAAAGATTTTATTAAAGCATTGAATATATAATGGTTGAGAAAAGGAACCAAACACAAATAAATGAATTTCTTTATCGCGCGTTGATTTTAAAAATGAATTTTAAGATATTTATTAATAAATCACATATTGGTCACTTATTGTTCCAGCTCTTACAAACAAGTTCTGTAAATTTTACGAAGATGAAAAATGGTCCTGTTTTTATTTTCATCAATAGCGTTTAATTCAATTATGTTTGGGTAACAAATGTTTTTATACATGAAAAGGAAAAAATGTTTTTATACATGAAAAGGAAAAGCGTCCATAATATCATCGATACAGTTGCACGTGATTGATCCGTCTATTCAGATGACGAATAAAACAAGAGTCCTTAGATGAGACTGACGCTTTAGTGATTACAAATAATTTCTAGGACTTCATGTTTAGACTTTTTCTTTTTCTTTTTGACTGCATAGTACTGCAACCATCTTTGATATTCTACAGCGACAGCAGGATTTTAAAATTACCTGGTACACATATTGGATGTCAGACTGGCACCATTTTCATTTAGAACAAAGTCGACATCATTAGAAGCATTTTGGTGTAAAAGCCATGAAATAAGGACTATTCGTTATGATGGGCATAGTGACAGCGATAATTTTTAAATATAGTCGTCGTGGCAACCATATTATCTTAACTACAAGCACCATTTTCATGTAGAACTAATCATCTATCATAAAGATGTCTATATGTGAATTTGATACAGCCGTGCATTTATAAGGAGTAGAAATACTATTTGCAAGATAGCCACCATTTTTGAGGTTAGTCATTTCCCTTTAGGACCAACTGTACACTGTGGTCACCAGTTAACATGTACTTTTGAGAGAGTGATGTATGTAAGGTAAAGTTGTTTGCATTTAAAACATGCACAGTAGAAAGAATGTTGACATACCTATATGCTACTTTCATGTAATGTGACTGAAATTTCTTTGGATATTGTACTTTTCTAAATTTTATATGATATTAGCAAACTGCTAACTAAAATGAGCTCCATTGTGCTTCAGAAATCAATCTGAATTTTGTCTAAAGTACACTATATTTGGCAGCTATTAAAATATGGAAAATGAATTTTGCCAAATTAGACATTACCAGCTTCTGAAAAATGCAAGGAATGAATTACCAAATATATAAAATGTAAAAAAGTTATTGGCTCTATGTTTTACAATTTACCTCTGCAGTTTGGGAAGTGAAAATGAGCAAGTGGAGAAAGCACTCTTTTGAAAGGTGCACATCTGGAGTAAGGCCAAGCTGTGTACTTTATAATTTATATTACACCCACCACTCATACACCAACACAAAGGGAATTTAATGTTCTTTGAACAATGCCCAAGATATACAAATTCTTTTTTAAATAGCCAGTATAACTAGTGTGGACATCTGGGGAAATTTTTTTCTCTAAAATTGTAACCCTATGCTAAATACAAAACTGTAAAATGCCACCTGTGACGAAACCACCATTTCAAAATGACTTTCCATTTAGGAAGTGAAGATAAAACAAGAATTTCAAGATGGCCACATCAGACTAGCCTTATTTCAATTTAAGATTCACAATACATTGTAAGAAGTGAAAATCCCGTCCTTATTTAAGGAGTAAGGTGACTATGGCGGTCGTACAAAATCGGCATAATTAATCATAGGACTAACTATAAGTCATAAGAAGTCTTCTGGTGATAAAAGCACTATGTCAAAATGACTTTACATTCAGGAGAAGTAGTGATATGATTTTCGAGATGGCCTCTATGACATTTACAATAACCGGCACTATATCATTAGGACCAACTAGACATCACAAGAAGTCTTTTGTTGAAAAGCCCATGTAATATTACTTCCTACTGAAGTGGAGTTGTGTGGCTCCAATATTGTATGTCGCATCGACACCATTTTAATTTACGACCAACTATGCATGAGAAGAAATTATTTGATGAAAAACCCACGTCTATATTGACTTTCCTTT